AAAAAATATATTAATATATAATAATATATATTAAAAATTATATTAGTAATATAATAATAAATTTTTATATACTAATATATTAGTTTTTTTAGTATATACTAATAGAACGTATTTATAAAAAAATAATATTAGTATTTAGTATTAAATTAATAGTATAAAATTATGTAATAGCAAAAATTTATATTAGTATAAATTATTAATATATATGAATGTATTATCTTATACTTAAAATTTATTGATATTACGTTAGAAGTTAGAATTGATTATATAATAAATTACAAATTACTATTATTATTTTGAGAGAAGTTATAATTTATTATTTTGTAAAATTATTAACATACATCGTAACATATTGCAGGTGCCACTCGAAGATTTTGGAAGAGACGGTGAAGATTACCGATCTTGTTTGCTACAGATGAGCAATTTGATAGTCATGAGGAAGCTATTGAATGGGCAAAAGACATTGCAATGATATGAAATTTCGAATTGGTCATCTCGAGACACGAAAAAGATGGAATGGTTCGGACGTTGAGGTGTCATCGAGGGGAACGTTACAGAGGCAAGGCATGAAAACTAGGAAATCTTGTGAATGCTGTTTTGAGACGTTTGAATACTAAATTTACTGGCTGCCCTTTTCTGATAAAAGTCAAATTTGAAGCAAATTCCAAAAAATGGAGTATCTGGCTTCCTTTAGAAGACGAGAAGGGATTTCATAATCATGTTTTGGCAAAAGACATTGCAATGATATGAAATTTCGAATTGGTCATCTCGAGACACAAAAAAGATGGAATGGTTTGGACGTTGAGGTGTCATCGAGGGGAACGTTACAGAGGCAAGGCAGGAAAACTAGGAAATCTTGTGAATGTTGTTTTGAGACGTTCGAAGACTAAATTTACTGGCTGCCCTTTTCTGATAAAAGTCAAATTTGAAGCAAATTCCAAAAAAATGGAGTATCTGGCTTCCTTTAGAAGACGAGAAGGGATTCCATAATCATGCTTTGGCTGTGCATCCCGAGGGTCATCGACAGATGAGCCGACTCAACGATTCATCCAAAGAGATTGTCCGTGATATGACTGATGCTCAGGCAAGACCGGGAGTAATTTTGGCTGCAATTCAGGAGAAAAACCCTGTGGACAACGCTACTTGGTGTATAACTATAGAGGTCAATTGCGAAAAGACCGTCTGGAGGGTAGAGATGTTGTTGGCCAACTTCTGCATTTGGCTAGGGGCAGCAAGTACATAGTTTACACAGATGTTGACCCGGACACACAAGAGTTGACACGTGTGTTCATGTCGCATCTAGGAGCAGCCAGTCTATTCCGGACATATTACTGGTATGTCGGTATAGATTCCACGTACAAAACCAACAGGTATGTTACATTACGTTATAAATAGCAATATAATGTGAATCTTAAAATAGTATGTTTGAGTATGTTTTTTGATTCTATGTCTTTTCTTCTTGCTGCTTTCATTTGCACAGGTACCACATGCCGTTGGAGGGTCTATCGATTAACGTCGACAAGCACAAATAAAAATAAGATCTTCGCCCAGAAGTTCACGCATGGCAAGTGGAAGAAGGTTGTCGAGGCGAACACGTGGGATAAATACAAAACTGCCGTAACTGATTTGGCTGTTACATACGCGGCATTTCCTCGTGTGCTGAAATATGTGGATCAGACATGGCTAGTGCACAAGGAGAAGTTTTTCAAAGTGTGGATGGACACTGTCTTACATTTTGGCAACACAACATCGTGTAGGGTAGAGAGTTCCCACGCTACGTTGAAGCGGTGGCTTAACACGTCGACCGGTTCGCTCGACGCGGTTTGAGAGAAGATTGACAAGGAGATTGATTCTTAACTGACTAAGTCAGGTATATTCTTTAATTTATACAGTAGGACTGTGTTATTAATGCATTAATTATAAATTTTAATTGGGTCTAATGTTATGTAATGTATTACCAGCGAGACGCTGGAGTCTTCGAGACTTAGGCTGAGTACGGGCTACAGGGGATTCCCTTTCGAGCAGTTGACACTGCGGGTCTCCCATTATTGTATGGATATATTGAATGATGAGCTTCAGAACATGCGAGACTTCGGCAAAGATGTTTCGGAGCGCTGCGATTGTGCACTAAAATGCACTCATGGACTTCCTTGTGCCTGTGAGCTAAGGGAGGCACACACTGTGCGTAGAGATATTACGACCGACGACATCCACAGCTTCTGGAGCACACTAGAGGTAACGCAGCCAGGTATAATTGCGAGATTAATAAATCTATAGAACATCATGCTCAACATTTTTTTCTCCTAAATTTTGTTTAATTTTTTTTTAACTCCACGTATTGTTTCATTTATAGAAATTTTGATAGAGCATATTGTATATTCTTTAAATTTTCGGTACGGACAGGTCAGCAGAGTGCATCGGCAAGTGGATGGACTGATCATGATTATTTTCGGAGACTTGTCGAGGAGGTTGAAGCGGCCGATCCTGCGACTGTACGGTACCTGAACCATCTCATCGACTCTCAACTTCACCCTGATCAATAGGGATACACAGAACCTGCAGTAAAGGAAAATCCGAGAGCTCGGACCAAGAAGAAAAATTCAACAAAACGCGATCTTTCGAGATGGGAGTATAGTGAAAGAGGTCGTACGGCGGGGCGTAAAAGCACTTCTTCGTGTGCTCCATCGCAATCGGGGTACACGGAAACAGGTCGTCGGCCGGGGCGTAAGAGCACTTCTTCGTGTGCTCCGTCGATGTGAGACTACAGGGAAAGAGGTCGTCCGGTGGGTCGTACAAGCACTTCTTCGTGTGCCCGACAAGCTCATCGTCTCAAGATCCGACAGGTAATTTAATTTTATTTTTTATCTGAACGATGACTAATTATGTTTGTAAATTCAATTACCTAAATTGTGACATGAAATTATTCTGATATTATAGATACTTTCGAGATAGATTTTTTTTCAGTACCGACATCGTGGTAGGATTCCCTACGTAGTTCACAGCTACATACAGAGTTATCTCCGGACGGGAACTGCGGATTTCGGGTGGTTGCGAGTTACATTTATAGGGATCAGCAGAAGTGGGATGTGGCAAGAAGAAATATTGCAAATGAGGTTGCAGGCAGCATTCCTTTGTACGCTCCATTTTATTGGGATGGGGTCGACGTCGCAATCGATCGTATAAGATGGGACGGGGGT